CAACAGCAACGACAACATCAACAACAACAGCAACGACAACAACAACAGCAACAACATCCACCACAACTAGAACAACAACGACAGCAATACCAAGTCAGTACCATGTTAAATGATTTATAGTTGCTCAAAAGATGATAAGTACAACTGACGACATCTAAAGTTTAGGTTTTACCTATCAAATGTTTGTCATTCAGATAAATAGCATTAGAAAAAATTTCCCACTAGAAGTCGAAATATGATCAGTTTTTGATGACTTGGTTCGATCTAGACTGATCCAAATATTAGATATGCTCATTCTGTCGAACAGTATCAGACGAAAACATTGTTGATAAAAAGATTTTCATGTGATAGAACTGATTGATCATTTTAGTAATCACTCACACCAGCTCAATCTCAAGATGATTGGAATAAGTGTACACGTTGAAGTGCTAGTTGACATAATATCGGCATGAGGCATATCTATCAACACCTAATTTCATGCTTTAGATTGTATTTGTATAGAGTTGAGTAATTCAAAAAAATATCGTAGTAATATAAAATGCAAACTTCAAATGTGAGAAAAACGCCTTTGGTCATCATTAATTAACTCTTACTGTACTGATTTTCTCATGAGAACAACGTGAGAATTATATTATCATACTCACAATCATATCCTCATTGATATTTATTCTTACATGAATCCTCACACATACATACACTATCCACCCAACATGATGAAAATACATTTTGTTTCCACTATGTTGAGCAATGTTTGTTTCCACAGTTCGCAACATCGATAGAACTCGAGAAATATCAAAGAAATCGTTTAGAACATATTTTTCATTACTCTAGTTTAACATTTCATAATGAATCTTATCTTAATCATGAAAACAAACAGAAGTTTATTGAATGTTTGAACTCATTTAGTTTTGCATCAATAGATAGGCAGCTTATATATATGAGAGATTTGAAGTCATTTGTAAGAACAACATTTTTTCTCATTTTTCTGCCTTATCTAGGATGGACAATGACAGGAAACATGAATGTCGTACGATACACTCATACAGCATCCACATTAGCAAATGGATTAGTATTAGTTGCTGGCGGATTCAACGGTAGTAGTTACTTGAATAGTACTGAATTGTACAATCCATCAACAGGCACTTGGACAACCACAGGAAGCATGAGTACCGCACGAGGATATCATATAGCATCCTCATTGGCAAATGGATCCATATTAGTTGCTGGTGGATTGAACAGCAGCGGTGGTTATCTCAGTAGTGCTGAGTTGTATAATCCATCAACAGGTACTTGGACAACTACAGGAAGCATGAATATCGCACGACAATATCACACAGCATCTACATTAGTAAATGGATT